CTTCTTTTTTGCATTTAAAATTCTTTTATTTGCATGTGGAGTTATTTGGAAAAGAGCTAATGGCTGACTACTATTTTATGAGCTTCTTGGGTTTTATTTTAAAGGTTAACTGAATTTTGGGAAGGAAATGGTTAGAAAAATTGATGCTTACCTCTTTTTTTTTTTTTTGGTATGACCCCGCCACACTCAAGAGCACAGCTGTGCTGCCCTGCCCTGCCCACACTGGCTACTCTTTCCATCCTGGCCATTCCTGACTGCACTCAACAGCCACCAAGGCAAGGACACAGGGCATTCTTTCAACCCGACCTGCCCTCCCAGTCTGACATCCCGGGAAAGAGCAGACTATAGGGCTGGAGGAGACTGTCACCCACTCCAGACCTGTGGGTTTCCAGCTGGGCAACCCTGGACATGTAATTCTGAAGGCGAGCCTCTCATCTGTATTGGACCCAAGACCACCTCATCGTGGTCCTCAAAGATTTCAACTGGGTGAAGAATTAAGAAGTTTGGCACAAAACAAGAGTTCAGGGAACATTAGTGCTCTCTTCTCCCACCAGGATTTCTTGTAAGATTGGTGCTCACGGAGCTCATCTGCTACTGAATCTCGCCTTTGGCTCTTTGGTCTGCCCGCAGGATCATTCTGGACCCTCAGTCCTGAAGGGCAGGGCTCGCCCCTGTGACTCCTGTCTACTCACTGGTCCCTGCAGCGGGCCTACCTCCACCCCTCCCACTCTCTCTGAGCTTCATTTTCTACCTTTGTAAGGCTTTAGTGTGCACGACATAGTAAAATAGACTTTGCCACAAGCCTGGAACATAGCAAATGCCCAAACTCCAAAACGACTTCTGCAAAATCAGGACTGTTTAATAATCTGCACTCCAATCGACATGCCGCTTGCCAAATGTGGCTACTGAGCACCTGAAATGTGGGTACTGTGGATGAAAAACTGAATTTTAAAGTTTACTTAAGTTTAACCGTATATGGCAAGTGGCTACCATATCGGACAGTGCAGGGTGATACAGTGCCCAGCACACCAGATATGAAAATAAGCAAGCAATTGTCTGAAGTTTCTATAACCTTGCTCTGGATGCAGCAGGGCAAGGCCTCAAACCATTTCAAAATATTCTTGCAAGCACCGTAGGAATGCACAGGGTCACGGCAGACCCAAGGACACGAGGCTTGCAGGACACTTCCCTTTTTGACTTGCAGGATACTTCCCTTTTAGACTTATGGAGGAGAGTGGCCCAAAGGAAGGGCTAGAGCACTGAGTGTCTTACAAGAATTCGTTTTAAGAGCCCTTGGCTTTACCTGGGGGAATTGCGAATTCTACACTGAGAAAATTGTGAACTTGCCTTTAGGAGACGCTGTTTATCAGGACGATCCTAACTCCAGGAAAGGGGAGGCGAAAAGGCCATGACAACACCAGCAGGAACTTAATATCAAGTTACTCAAACCAGAAGAGCCAGTTTTCACTTGCACAGCCAGTGACTAGTCTTGAGCTCTCTTCCCGCGCAAATGGGAGCTTCCTTGGAACATGGAGTACGGAAAGGATCGTCATTTCTTTAAAACGTTTTTTTCAGGAAATTTCCCCAAGAACGATTTGTTTCCAGAGGACCAGTGGAATTTGATTTGAAGGTATGTGATTAACGCCTTCCCTCTCCCTGCCACCCTCCACTGGGAGTTTGCACTCCAGCTTTTCCCTTGCTACATAACATAGAAACTTGCAAAAACTCTCATTTTCAGCAATGGCACTATTTCTGCCTAAATTTATTAGCCTTCCCAGGGAAAATGAAAGTTTAAAAAGGCCCAGGAAGCCTCCGACACAGCCTTCTACTGGCAGAAATATGCTAGTCTGCAAACAAGAGACAAAGTCTGGCAGACTCACCAAAGCTGGAGATTTAGAATCTTCAGGAAAATTCAAGGCAAACGTATGATGTGTTGAAATAAGATTGTATCACCAAAAAACCCAATCATTTGGTTTCTAGCATCACAGGGCTGTTAGAAGAGAAGACCTCATGGCATTTTTTTTTTGGTTTCTTTTTTCTAACAATAAAAATAATATATGTTTATTGCATAAAATTTGAGAGGAACTTGAATAGGAGCTCAGAAAAAATTTACATTATCTATAATTATACCACCTAGATACAACCACTCTTTTGTTATTTGTTTTGTTATTTCCTATGTTCTCTTTCCTTAGGAAGTAGTTTCTTGTTTCTAAATAACCAAGTCTTGCATAATGAATATATACGTTACAGAATGAATAATTACATTGAAGAATTTTATCAACTTATTGCTTCTCTGAACAGAATGAAATTTAATGGAAAATGCATGGTTTATGAACTGGTCAGTTGGAAATATTGACTTAGGTAATTTGTGACTTCCTACACTGACCTGAGCAACAATTGTATAAAACATTCCCTTTATTTCTGGGGTCTAGGATTACGGCTTCTCTTTCTGTGGGATACAGACTTGCCCTGTTATGGTCAGCAATGTTATCTCGTTGTTCTTAGGTTGCTAGACACTTCAGAAATATAAATCTCCAGATGGCTTTATTTCTAAAATGTAGGGCGTAAATCTAAGTGCTCTTTTTGCCGTTTGGTGGGAATGAATTAGCAGCTCCGACCCGGAAGAACTCCAACCGGGAGAAATTGTGCTGAGTCGTCCTCCCTTTTAACTGGCACCCATGGAGGACATTTTGATTTCAGAGAAATCAGGGTAAATGAGTTCCAATAAAAGCTCCCTCCAGTCTTCTTAAAGGATTAGCATACAAGAATTGGGGTTGAGATTTCTGGGCTATAGCTTTTTGAAGTAATTTTTATTTCAGTAATTTTTACTTTTCAGCATTTCTAGGCAAGTCTAGTGCCTGGACCAGCGGAGGCTGAACTGGGAGAGGGCCTGGGAAGCTGAGGTGCCCTGTGTCTTTACTCTCTAACGTGCTGTCCTATCTCTGCCTCTCTCAGAATGGCCGCGGCATCTCAAGGCCTGAGTATGAGTTCCAGTTCACATGATAATGGTAGAGAGAACTTTCGCGAGAGGCTTCTGGATATCGATTATAATCTAGGAGATCTAGAGGTGGAGCAACTAAAGTTTCTCTGCCAAGACCTCGTCTCCCGCAAGAATCTGGAGAAATGCAGCTCGGCCTCGGATATTTTTGAACATCTGTTGGCAAGGAAGCTGCTGAGTGAGGAAGACCCCTTCTTGCTGGCAGAACTCCTCTATATCATCAAGCAGAACTCACTGCTGAAGTACCTCCACTACACCAAAGAGCAGGTGGAGAATTTGCTGCCCACGAAAAGGAAGGTGTCTCTGTTCAGGTGAGGAGGGGTCTGTGATCAAGACAGGAGAATTTTCCACTTAGTAGTGTCCATTCAGGCCATTGGACTTTGAAAGGAGGCTGGGATTGAGAACTTTTTCTTACCTACCTCCTTGTATGATACATTGATTCTAACCTGGAGATTTCTCAGCTCTAGATGGTAACGAGAGGAGAGGTTGGGCTTCTCTGGGCCTGGTGGTGGCTTCCCTTAGTTTTGTTTCTCCCTGCCAAGAGAAGCCCACCTCAGCGTAATAGGCCTACGCTTTTTTCTTTTCCAGCCTGTGCACTTTCAGACAGTCCCTTCTGTGAGCCACTGGGTGTGTCCATCCATATTCAGTGATTTGAGAAAAGAGGAATGCATTCTTGATACCAAATAAACCAAGTAAAAAAGATGTGTCTCTAGGGTAGAGAGGGTCATCATTTATGCCATATCCAGTTACATTTTTGGGTGAAACCCAGAGAAGTAAAGTAGAGGGATCAGGCTGATCATGGGTCAGTCTTAGACAACACTGTTTTAATTGTTCCCTGACACAGTATCTACAGAGAATCTCACAAGGAGGAGCCTCTGAAGTGTTATTTTATCTAATCACTTGGGCAATTACATCCTTCAGGCCTTAACACTTGAACTGGCTCCCAGAATCTGAGCTATTCTTGGGTCAGTGAGAGAATTCTGGAAGTCATTATTTCCTCTCTGCTGCTTAAACAACTGAGAAATGATCTCTGACATTTGGAGGTATTCGTATGTGAATGAAATATTTAGTTTTTCTGGTCACCCATTATATGACTATCCATAAGGTGAGGTAGTCTGCTTTTCAACAGTGAACTTTATATTGACCGGCATCAGGTTCTCTCTGACAAGAGCCTATAACATAAGCCTGAATTTCGAGAATGGAGTCAGGAGATGGGAGGTCATGCCAAAATTGTGTTTTCTGCTTTCTTCACACTGGACTTGGAATCAGAAATCCTGCCCCCTAATGCTTACTGTGTTATCTTAATTTAATAGGTCACTTTGAAACTGAAAGTTGTAGTTTTTGAATCTATAAAATGGGGTTAATAATTATCTACTCAGAGGGTTGTAATCATTTACATGAGAGAGAACGTTTGTAAAAGCACTCAATTTACTCTGTTGTCCTCTGCAAGTGTGAGGATTCATTTGTCTCTTTGGGTGTATGTCTTAGAAACCTGCTCTACGAAATGTCAGAAAACATCGACTCGGAGATCTTAAAGAGCATGATCTTCCTTCAGAAGGAATCAATGCCAAAAATGCAGATGGTGAGTAGGTCATATACAGTGGAGTCTTTGTGTACCTTGACTCACTCGGTGTTTGAGAAGATGCTGGAAAGTGTTTTTGAGATGTAATTTTTTTGCTGGAGACGGTATCATACAACAGAGAGGAGCATCGATTTCAGCGTCACGTGGGCCTGGTTCTACTAGCAGCTCCTCTACACACGAGGCGAGTGCCAGAATATCTCTGAGTCTCCATCTTCTCATCTGTCCTTGTTGTGGGCAATCATACTGCTTCCTTCAAGGACTATTGGAAGGATTAGAGAAAATAACGTTCATAAAGCGTTAGCACGTGGCCCAGATTTGGCACACAGTAACCAACCAATATCCACTGTGTTTTATGACACAGAAATGTTCAGGGCACAACAAAGAAATGAGAAGGTGGGAAATAATAGCAGAGTGGGAATTAGCCATCTGTCGTCGACATTAATTGAGGTTTGTGAAGGAGCTTTGTGTCCTTTTCAATGGTGTTTGCAGTGTCTCCCATGTAAGGTTTCTGTGAAAATCAAATGATACAGATGTTTGAGAATGTGCTTTGTAAAGCGCTGTATAGGTGCTTTGAAGTAATAATGATGTGTTTAAAATTAATATAATGCTATTTGTTAATATTGCTGCTATATTGGTCACATTTAAGGGCAGGAAAATAGCTGCATGTCTCTCTTCCAGGCCTCAATACTTTATATTTTTTCTTTTGACTCCAGTAACAGCTTGTGTCAAGCAAGTTAGTTAATTTGAGAAGGGGCCAATATTCAAATTTTACCCTGTAACATTAATTGTGTTATTCAGTTGTTATTTTTATTAGATTTTAAGTTAGGTAATGTTTGATAACACACAAAAGATAACATGTAACGTGTATGGAAGTTATGTAATGCTAAGTAAACAGCCATGAATTTCCCTATCCAACTTATGGATGAGAACATCACCAATGGTCTTGAGCCTACATGTGTAGCCCTTTCATATCATATTCTCTCCAGATCAATTGATATTGACAAATAACTTAGATTTTTTTTTTTTTTTTTAAGAAAAATCACTGAGGAAAGGGAAGCTGTTTTACATGTGGTAAAACATGTGACAGGTCAAACAAATGAGGGCAATGATAGTAATTCATGTTCTCTGGTGTCAGATTTGTAGCAGGTTAATTCTCTGTTTTGGCCACAATCTTTGAGTCTTCCCCCTTTTCAGAACCTTCAGAGATTTTAGCCTCTTGTATCTTTTGATTGGTTATCTCTTGAGGTTCTTCATTCCTGAAGATTTGTTGTGAGTTCTTTGGGGGTGGGAACCGATTCTAACTCATCTTACAGCCCCAGAACCTTGCAGAATCTGTTACAAAATGATGCTTTGAATGAAGGCACGAATGAATGGGATGATGCAATCTTCCCTTTTCTCTTCCCATCTGAGAAAATGGCCTGAACGCTTTCTGTTTATGTGATTTTACAATGAATAATGGGGGGTACGGGGGGGATATTATCAGGATGAACCAAACCACCATGATGGGGATGTGCAAAGATATAACATTCTCATAGTTGTTGCCCTTGGTTAGAATCTATTAATTTTCTGCCTTAGACAGCCTCTTTTGATATCCTCTTGTTTTTGTTTCTTACATTCTTTTCCTTTGTATCTTTTTATTCTTTAAAAACCCCCAAAAATATGAATACAGAAAATGACACAAAGCAAACATACAGCTTAATGAATTATTATAAAGCTAATCTCCTTGAAACCACCACCCAGATCAAGAAATTGACTTTTGGCAACCACTACAAAAATGCCTTCACTTGCACTATCTCAAACACAGTCTCTTCCTACCGCCTAGAAGTTAATACTGTCCTGGCTTTTATAGTAACCACGTTCTTAAGTTTCCTTATGGTTTTATCGCTTTCTTGTGCATCTCTAGACCTCAATTTAGTCTTGACCAGTTTTCCTTTTGAGTATCTTTTAGTCCAGAGGTTAAACTCCCCTCCCCCCATCACTTTATTTTTCTTAAAATTTAATCTGTTGAAGATCGCCAGGACAATTGGCCCGTAGAATTTTCCCCAGTTTAGGTTTTGCTGATTTTGTGCATTTGGTGCAGTTCAGCATACTCCTCTGTCTTCTGCGTTTCCTGCAAATTCGCAGCTGGATTCAGAGTCTTCATCAGACTCAGGTTCGATCGTTTTGGCAAGATTACAGTAGTATCGTGTTGCGTTCTTTCGTTGGGAGGTACACATTCCTGGTTTTCTCTCTTTTTCAGTATTAGCAACTGTTGATGTTCATCAGTTTTATATGTTGATTCTCTAGAGGTTGCAAAATGGAGATATTCATATTCTATCATTTTGTTTTCTCTTAATCTACTATTTGGTAACTAGGCCATACAGTTTATATATAAATCCTTGATTCTTTCTTTTAGATAAAAATGTTCAAAATAATTGACTGGTTTTCTGTTATATTCTGAAAGTGACCCATTATAACAAAAACATAAATTTTAACTCATGGATTTAATGGGTTTCAGTTCATCGCTTCATGAATTCATACTGCTTTTTCAAGTCAAATTCACATTTGTAATTAACCTCTTCTATATTATACCTGTATCTTCTTTTTTCCCTACTAGTAGGTCCTCACATCATAGAAGATGATAGAATTAGTAACAGATAATTTGCTTTATCCCACATTGTACATATGACACTCTCAGAATATCATATTAATACTTTTACTACCAATATGGTTATTCACAACTGTTGAAACATTTATTTTGCATGTGCTAAACCCATTGCCTCCCAATCTGGGTTTTTAGGGTTAATATATATGTTGTCAGAGTATATAGCTACTATATACTACACTCTCTTTTAAATTTTTATTTATTTTATTTTTGTACTCTCTTAAATCTTCATTAAGTCTTCTTTCTACAAGCAAATATATATATGTATGGAAACGTGGAACACCTTACCAAGGTCATTTTTGTCCTTCTAGAGACTGTATGCATTTAGAATCCTTTCTTTTTGGCTGAGAGGTATTCAGGCCCTCCTCCACTGGCTGGTAAAGAATTTATTTGTGTTAAAAATGTTTTGCAATTTCAAAACCCATCTGTATTTCCATACCAGGGCTTAATAAGCCTGCATTATAAATATGTGATATATATGCAGTAGACCTCCTTATCTGTTGTTTCTCTTTCCACCATTTAAGTTAGCTCTGGTCAACTCTGGTCTGAAAATATTAAATGAAAAATTCCAAAAATAAACAATTCATAGATTTTAAATTGTGCATTGTTGTGAGTAGTGTGATGAAATTTGTCACTTGGCCATTCTGTCTAGCCAGGGATGCAATCATCCCTTTGCCCAGCATCTCTGCACTGTATGTACAGTACAATGAGATATTTTGAGAAACCGTATTTGAATAACTTTTACTACAGTATGTTATTATAGTTATTTTATTTTATTATTAGGTGTTGTTAATCTCTTACTGTGCCTGATTTATAAATTAAACTTTAGCATAGATGTGTATGTATAAGAAAAAACAGTATTTTTAGGGTTTGGTACTATTCAAGGCTTCAGGCATCCACTGGAGGACTCAGAACATATTCCTCCGAGGATAAGGGAGGGCTACTATATAATACACACACATATAGCCAAAGTGTCCACAAGTTATTGGAGAATAAAAAATGGGGGGAGGGGTTGTTTCAGATAATGTTTTGATATGTTTGTGTTTACATTGGTGCAAAGCAATGATATACTCAAGTGACAGAATTTACCTTAAATGCAGAATTTCTCAACACTAGAAGAGATTCCTGTAGTTTGAAAAGCTCTCTAGGTTATTCTGTTAATACTCTCTCTGAGCTTTGGGCATCCTTTCACAATTATTTCATTCTCCGGATTTATAAGTAAAATGAGATTACTTTCTATTGTTACACCTCTCCACATGTCTTGAGCAGAAGTCCTCACTGCTCACAGTGGGGTAGGGGATGGGGAGAAGATTTATAAAAGGAGTTCCGCATATGCTCAATACTGAGCCATGATTTTCCACTAATAAAAGTTGGGGAATGTATTTCTACCTCTGTGATTTTCACAGGTCCTAGATCTCTGCTTGAAGGCATTTGTGGCTACAGAAACATTTTTGTGGTCAGAAACATTTCAAACATTTCTCACCCGCTAAATTTGCTTTTAAATAATCAAAAGCCCATACTCAAGTAGTCAGATGATTTTGTTTTTCTCACCTGGTACAACAGTAAAAGAAGAAGTGTTTGATGGCATAGAACTGTGGAATTACGTGGTCAAATTCAGGAAAACTGCACTTCCTTCCTGGATTTCAAATGATCTCAACTTTATTCTGAAGGAGATCTAATTCTTCAAGTCAGAATCGTGGCTGAGTTGTACATCTCAGATAATCCAGATTGATCTCTATGGGATTTGGGGATCAGGCCAGCCTTCCGAAATGTGTAAAGGACAATCTCTAAGCCACCCAGATGAGTTTCCATACTAGGGCTTAATAAGGTTGATTTATCTGCACTTCCAATTGCAAAAGATTTTATCATAGAAATAACTTCGTTACCAGCCAGTGGAGAAGGGCCTGAACACTCCTCAGCCAAACTGCAAGGTTTCTAAATTCATATGGTCCCTCTAGAGGGATAAAAATGACCTATGTAGGGTGCTTTAGGTTTCTTCTGGATAGCTTTCATTCAAACTTGTAACACTATAGCTGCCTTCACACTCCCTGAGAGACCCAAACAACTGTCAGGAAATTCGATCTCGGTGTAACATTCAACACAGAAGGTCGGTGTAAAGGAAACCACACCTAAATTTACTTGTTTTTAGCAAAGAAGCAGAGCAAAAGAGCTTTCAGACACTTCCTGCCAATATTTGCCAGGGTAGTGTTCTTTTATTTTAAAATTTATTTTTAATTATAGTTGACATACAATGTATTAGTTTCAGGTGTACAACATAATGATTTAACATTTATATACCTTATGAAGCAATCTCCATAATAAGTCTAGTAACCGTCTGTCACAGGGTGGTGTTCTAAAACTAGAGTAGTGTACAGACTCCATTTAAAGTGTGTGTGTGTGTATCTGTGTCTGTGTCTGTGTATGAAATGTATCATTCACTAAATATCTGATAAACTTTCTTCAAAGTATAATGAAATTTCATCATTGCTTCTGGAATCATGTCTTAGCCCTTTTTCTTCCTCCTGGAAGGATATTATCAAGATAAGAGTTTCTGTTTTGAGGGTCAGAGACAGCTCATTTGCACATAACCTACCACTGCATCTTTGGGACTTCCCCACAATCTGTTTGCCCAGTTGATCAACTCTGGATGAATCTTCCTTCACCATCTCCCCGCTCCTGCTTTAATCTCTGGTCAAGCTATTGGAGTGCTGGGGCTACAGGTGGAGACATACACACCTCTTTGCCTTTTTGGTTCTCCTACCTGTGTCTGAAATTTCTTGAAAATTTATAATCTCTTTTTTGATCAGATGAGTTTGTAACTCTGGCCTTTCCCTTGGTTGTTGGCATTCAAATACCTTCTTTGAAGATACACACACACACACACACACACACACACACACACACACACACACACCAGATACATGCACTCTAATTAACCCTTCCTCAGCCTATATTACTGTTCTAACTTCTTCCTTCCCTCTACTGCCAAACTTTTTGAAACAATAGTCTACACACCTTCCGCTAATGCAACTATCGGTCACATTACAATACATTTCAATATGGCTTCAGCTTCCATCCCTCCAATGAAACTATTCTTGCTGAAGCCACCACGAACCTCTGCATAACCAGAGTTTTAGTTTCTCATCATTTTCTCCATGTGGGTTTTTTTCCCCCGCCTGGAATGTCCTTTTCCATGTCGGCAGTGAAAGCCTAGTTATCCTTCAAGATGCAATTTATGTTTCATCTTTCATGTGCAGCTTGTGTGAAGCCTACTATGTAGAAAAGATGAGTGATAGATAAATGAGTGGGATCACCATTTGAAGTCATCTTTGACTCTTCATTTCTTCACCTACTTCGAACTGATCTCCAAAACTCACAAGATGATATTTTGGAAATGTTCTTAAATGCAGTGGCACCTCTGCATTTCCGCCATGAGCTTTGGGCCAGGTCTTGATCATCTCTTCACCGGCATATTTAATCTTCCTAACAATATTTTCTCTCTAATCCATTTCCTCCTCTAACCTCTCCCCAATACTTCTATTTGAAAACAAATCTGTTCATGCTTCTATTCTTAAAAACTACTGCTGGGAGTCTACGGCCATGCCACCCTGAACATGCCTGCTCTTGTCTGATCTCAGAAGCTAAGCAGGGTTGGGCCAGGTTAGTACTTGAATGGGAGACCACCTAGGAATACCAAGTGCTGTAGGCAATAAAAAAACAAAACAAAACAAAAAAACCCCACTACTGCTGGCACTCCTTGCCCCATGGGACTCTTGCCTAAATTCCTCTCATGGTGTGTGTGTTCCTTCACAGTTTGATACCAGCTCACCATTCCAGCCATGACCTAGCTCTCACTCAAAATTTGTACTCAAGTCTCCTTCTCAATACTTCTGAACATACTGTCCCTTCTCAACTGTTCAACTCCTCAACATATTTGGAGACCTCTTCCCTAGTTCTCACTCTGCTGATGCTTATGTATATAGTCAGATAGTGTTCAGTATTCACTTTCTGGGTAGTTTCTCTTTTCTGGGGGCTCTAATATAGTTTTGTTCATGTACTTCTTTTTTTTTTTTTTAAACCAGCTTAATTGAGAAGCCTTAATCATTAAAAATATTATGGTGCCTTCAATCTCATATATAATTCAATATTAAAATAACACTAGCCAATTTGCAGTTTTTCCCAGGAGTACGTAAGAGACTTTTTTCTTTTAAAATAGCAAATATAAAATTCTTTCAAAACATTTTACTCTCATTTATTTCATTGGCGCCTCTGTTTTGCTGCTGCCTTACTCTATTATGTCATCTATAGCTGTGAGTTAGAGGCAGTACAGCTGAATGGTTAACAAGAGCGACTTTGACATCAAACTGCCAAGGTCGAAACACTGGCTCTGCCACTATTGGGTCTGTGACCTTGGACAAGTTATTGAACTGCTTTGTGCCACAGTTGCTTTATCTTTAAAATGGAGATTATAATAGTATTTACCTCATCGGATTATGTTTGAGGTTATTATACAGCAAGCACTGCCTGGTATGTAGTGAGAGATATATTTGGTATCTGGTATTAATACATTGTATAGAGAGTTACTTGGTAATGCCTATTCCTCATACTATTGAATTCCTCGGAGATAAACACTGTACCTTATTTATCAATGGAAAACCTGGTGCCCAGTGGCCACACAGGTAGTGTTTAATGAATAAATGAATAATCAGTAGGTAAGTAAATGTAACTCCATCGATTCTCTTGCAGACCTCTCTAAGTTTCCTGGGACATCTGGAGAAACAAGCTCAAATAGGTGAAGATGATCTGAAGGTGCTAGAGGACCTCTGTGCAAAAGTTGCACCTAGTCTTGGGAGAAAGATAGAAAAATATAAAAAAGAGAAAGGTAACTAATTTATGCTTGCTTGCACCAGACCATAGGAATTCTTAAAGTGATTGGTCATGTATGATGTTTACTCATTACTCTGATAATATTCTCTTGGGAGAGCCAGAACTCTCCTGCATTTGTTTACTCAACACATATTTATTGAATGCATACTTTGTACTAGCCACAGTTTTAGAAGTTCCTCTTGGGAACTTATATTCTACTGGGGGAAAGTAGTTTTAGACAAATGTCTTCATCTCATTCTTATATGGGAGGGAGAGTATAGAAAATCATTTTGAATGAAATAACATAAAAATGGAGACAGGATAGCACTGGGATTAAGAGTGATATCTATGGAGTCAGATTGCCAAGACTATTTATTAGTGGTGTAGTGGCCCTTTCTTTAGCATTTCTATGTCTCACTTTCCCTATCTATAAAGTGGAGATAATGATAGTACTTACCTACTGGTTTTCTTCTGAGGGTAAGAATTTTATAATTCCTATAATACATGTCTGGCTAAGAGTTAAGCATTTCAGTATGTGTTACTATCTTTGTCGGAGAGGAAAGTCATGAAAACTTTCATATTCTCAGAAATTTCTATCAGAGAATTATTGCTATTATTATTATTTAGTCTGTCTTGTAAAGGTAGTATTGTTGTGATATTACATAGAGGTAATAGCACAGGGAAGAAATCAAACCTGGCTGCCTCCCCATTTATCAATATGCAAAAATTTGTGTTTTTCCTAGTCAATTTCTCCACTGTTAAACAAGAGCTATAAATAAAAACTCATGAATATATTCATGAAGCTTTTATGCCACACCCATATTTTAGTTCAGGGAGTCAATCTAATGTGCAAATTCCTATTAAAAACAAAACTAGCCAAAAGGAAACTTCTAAGAATTCTATAAATATAAAATGAATTATGGAACAAAATATATTGTTGTTAAACTGGTAAAATCTCAAGCCATAACTGAAGCAATGAATAAATGTATCATTTAAGTAAAAGTTCTAAAGAATAAAAACAGGTCTTCTAACCGTCAAGGTATCAAGTGAGAAATTGAAAGCAGGAAGTCGATGTTGAAAATATATTTGGAGTCCTCACTTGAACTCTGATCACTGAGATTTTTTTTTCCTAATCACATTGCTATTTTCCTGCAGTGTAGTAGCCCACACAAAGTAAACATGGGGCAGATAGGTTATTTTTGGATATTCGAACTCTGCAGAAGGCACTCTAGTTTTTATGTAGTAAATGTCTCCATAAGTCTCCAGGACTGATCTTTATTTCAGAAGAAATAAACACTTCTGGAACACTTCTGATCCCAGATGTGTGGAGTGTTCCACACCAGATAATTTTTCCTGTTTTCCATGGACACCAGCATGGGATGTCCTACATTAAACTCAGTTCTGGCACTAACCAGAGTTAGCACAGACTTTAACTAAATCGAGTTCATAACTCAGTCTCCCAAGACTGCCTCCCACTTCAGACATCAATTGTAAGTAGTGAGTCCCCAGATTACCCATTGCTTCTGTCCAACTTGGCTACAAACTTGGGATTCCCATGACTCCCTCCTCGGGTTGAATAATTTGCTAGAATGGCTCACAGAACTCAGGAAGACAGTTTACTTACTAGATTACCAGTTTATTATAAAAGGATACAACTTAGAAACAGCCAAATGGAAGAGATGCATAGGGTAAAGTGTGGGGGAAGGACGTGGAGCTTCCATGCTCTCTCCAGACGGTTAACCCTTCCCACACCTCCACATATTCACCAACCCAACGAACCACTTCAGTTAAGGTTTTCTATAGAGGCTTCATATGTAGGTATGATGGATTAAATCATTAGCCATTATGATTAATTCGACCTCTAGCTCTTGTCCCCTTCCTAGAGGTCTGCAGGTAAGGCTGTAAGTTCCTCTGATCACATTGTTGGTTTCCCTGGCAACAAGCCCTCATCCTGAGTCCTCATCCAGGAGCCCTCAACCATTAGTCATCTCATTAGCATACAAAAGACATCACTTCAGAGATTCCAAGGGTTTTAGGAGCTGTGAGCCCTGAAAGGGAGCAGAGACCAAATATATATTTATTATTACATATAGGTGTCAATCAATATTTTAATAGTGACTTTCAACAATCCTAAGAGTTTGGGCCTAATTCTGCCATTTAGGATGAAAGACTAAAGGACTATCTTTTCAGCTAGTAGGTATGCAGATTTTAGACTTTTCTGTAAGTATGATCCTAAGACAAAGTTCGTTGCCTTCGATTAGGGCACAAGCTCTATTTAAGAACAACCTGGATAACTTTCGGAGTTTTTTTGAGTCTGGTGTGCTTCAGTATTTTAAATTTATTATTAAAAATGTGTATACAAAATGTGTAAAAATAAAATAATGATAACCATACAAACTGTATAAGGTAAAAGTTTATCTCTTTTTCTTTTTTCCTTCCTCTCCAGAGATAACCACTGTTTGGAGTATGTGTGTGTGTGTGTGTGTGTGTGTGTGTGTGTGGCTAAAACAACATTTATTTCTCACAGCTCTGGAGGTGAGGGAGTCGAAGATCAAGAAGTTGGCAGATTCACTTTCTGGCTTGCACAAAGCCACCGTCTCACTCTGTCCTTACAGGGGGATGAGGAGGGAAAGTTGGGGGAGGGGGACGGGAGGAAGGTAGAGAGAGGGGCTGAGCGAGAGCTAGCTCTGGTCTCTCTTGCTCTTCTTAAAGGGATACTAATCCCATCATGAGGATCTCCTCTAAACCTAATTACCTCCCAAAGGTCCAACCACCAAATACTGTCACGTTGGGGATTAGGGCTTCAATATTGTACCCTTTCTTCTTTAAAGGGACAATTGTGTGTGTGTGTGTGTAGATTAATATATATTTAACTAAGATCATGCTAATCACATTCTATAACTTGCTTTATTCTTACCTAATATATCTGACATTTGCCCATTTATATAATGTAGAAATAACTCATTCTTATTAACAGTTCCATAGAAATACATATTATGTACATATCATTTATTTAATGACCACTTTTAGATTTTTTTTTCTTTCTTTCTCTTCTTTCCATTTTTCTTTTTCTTTTTGCCATTATAGTCTGAGTTCTGGTTTTATTTTTCGAGATAATGCTTTCATAATCTCTACTTGGCAATTATTTGACACATTAAGCACCATAGGTTCTGAAATAGTATTTAGTAAATATATAATAAATTTTAAGGAACTAATAAAACAATAAAAATAATAAAAACATAAAACAATAAGAAACAAAATATAATAATACAAGGCATGAAAATATAATGATGATATTTATTTATCATTATAAATTCACATTTTTCTGAGTATATGTTTAGGCCTCTTTAAGTAAACGGCACTGCAAACCTACGGGTTGCTGTAAAATAAGTTCTTTTGCTGATTTGTTATCTTGGATTGCAACTAGTTAGAAGGTGATTTTTGTTTTCTTATCTGTGATTCTATTTCCAGCCTTCCAGGTAGTGACATCTCCTGTAGACAAGGAAACTGAATCATTGCCTCAAGGAAAGGAAGAAGTTTTTTCCTGTTCAGACGTTCAACAATTTCTTGGAGCCTTACCGGCAAGTTCATTGGTGCGTTGGTAAATGTTTAACCACCAGCTCCACTCTTGACCCTTAGCCCCCAAGAATGAGAGAGTGAGAGAGACAGAGAGACAGACAGATAGACAGAGGCTGATTTCCATAGCTGATATCAAGTTACCAACATGATATTAACTGGATTGCAGAATTTTTGAAAATCTAACAATGGCTCTTACTAGCTGGATTGAGCTGACTCCCATACACCGCTGCGTTGTACTGTGTGTCATCTCTTCTTATCTGTGTGGTTTGATCAGGGCTGGCTTCATGGGCATACAGCCTGTGCAGTCACATAGGGCCCATGATTTTTAATGCTTAGCTGTCACTCTTTTGAAATTCTTAATAATGTGTGAACAAGGGGCCTCTCACTTTTGTTTTGCACTGGGTCCCACAAATTATGTAGCCAGTCCTCCCCAGAGAACAAGAACTGAGTTCCTATGGTGCCCAATGATAGAAGGATGAGTAGAGGGCGAAACATTGGGAGAAACTGCAATCTGTTCCTTAAAACGTGGTTATGATACTTGGAGACATATGACATTCTTCTCTGGGATTTATGTTTCTTCCCAGCAGTCTTGGGCAGTTCTATTTTGCCATCATCTGTCAGCCTCAATGAAGTTAGCTTAGCCTTAGAGTTGTTTTTTTTTTAATTGTGGTAAACACAAATACATAAAATTTATCATCTTAACCATTTAAAATGTACAGTTCAGTACTGTTAAGTACATTCACATTGTTGTGTAACCAATCTCCAGAACTCTTTTTATTTTGTGAAACTGAAACTATATTCATTAAACAAAAGCTACCCATTCCCCAATCCCACCAGGCCCTGGCAAACGTCATTCTAGTTTTTGTCTCTATGAATTTGACTACTCTAGGTATCTCATGTAAGTAGAGCCATATAGCATTTGTCTTTTGTGACTGTCATTTCATTTACTATAATGTCCTCAAGGTTCATCCATGTCAGGATTTCCTTCCTTTTAAAGGCTGAATAATATCTCGTTGTGTGTATATATCACATTTTGTGTATCCATTCATCCACTCATGAACACTTGGGTTGCTCTAACCTTTTGGCATCTGTGAACAATGCTGTTATGAATATGAACATTGGAGTACAAATAACTCTTTGAGACCCTGCTTTCAGTTCTTTTGGGTGTTTACTCCAAAGTGGAATTGCTGGATTATATGGTAATTTTGTATTTCATTTTTTGAGAAACTACTGTAGTTTTATCCAAAGCAGCTGCATCATTTTGCATTTCTACCAAAAATGCACAAGGGTTCCAGTTTCTCCACATTCTTGATAACATTTATTTTCTTGGTTTTTGATAATAGCCATCCTTATGGGCATGAGGTGGTATCTCATTGTAGTTTTGATTTGCATTTCCCTAACGGTAGTGATGTTGGGCATCTTTTCATGTGCTTGTTGGCTAGTTGTATATCTTCTTTGGAGAAATGTCTATTCAAATCCTTTACCCTATTTTAATTGGGTTGTTTGTGAAAGTTTTATTTTTTATTCTCATATCTTCTTTACTACTTTCATAGTTTCATATTTTTACAGTCACGATTTTTTATTTTTAAATTTAAAAATAATTTCAACCTTACAGAAAAATTGAAAAAATATGAATAATACAAAGAACACTGTATACTGTTTACTCAGATTCACTTACCTATTGTTGACTTTCTATCCCATTTGTCTTATCTTTTGCATGCTCTATCTTTATCTAGTTATCTATATACATGAACACATAATTTTTTCTGAACTTTTTGAGAGTTACTTGCATACATCATGGCTCTTTATCTCCAAATACTTCAGCGTGCATTTCCTAAGAATAAGGACATTCTGTTACAGAAATGCAGTACAGTTATCAATGCCAATAAAGTTAAATTAATATAATACTATAAGTCAAATATCCATATTTTAATTTTGTCTGTTGACCCAATAATATTCTTTACAGCTTTTTTTCCTCTCTCTGTTACGTAATTCAATCTAGGATCATGTATTGTATTTAGTTGTCATGTTTCTTTATTCTCCTTTAATCTTGAACATTTCTACAACTTTTCTACCCCTTTTATGACATTGACACTTTTAAATAATACAGTTACCCCACTACCACCTTTTATTAAAAAATGGAACTTGCCTCATTTTTTGGTGTGCGTGGTGTGACCTCATGGTTAGATTCGAGCTATGTATTCATGGCGGTATATTACATGAATGATGTACCTCTCTCAAGGCATCACATCTGGAAGCAACATTGTTCATCTGCTCCTCATTTATGACACTGATTTTGATCATGTGGTCAAGATGTTGTCTGATTTCTTTACTACATAGTTTATTTTATATAATTACTATTTTCCTCTTGCAACCAATAAGCAGTGGGGAGATATTTTAAGAAGCAGCAAATACTTCACTCTGCATCAAAAATTTTCCTCTAGGTTGACCATCCAATGATGATTCTTGTGTGGTTAAATATTTTCTATATTGGTTAAAAAGCAATGATTTTCAAACTCCAGTATTCTTTCCACATTTATAAGCTAATACTCAGTAGTCTACTGTAAGCAAAAGCCCTTTTTTTCCCTCCCAAAAGTTTTTTATTTTTTGCCCACTAAACTTAATTCCATCCCCCCAGTCTTTCATCTAGTTTTGTATGTGCTCAGATACTGTTGTGTATGTATAACACACACACACACACACACACACACGTGTGCACATATGCGACTTGGCTCTTTGTCTCAGAAATTCAGTAGTTTCTAAGGGATGTGGCTCAGCCTTTGTTTCTAAGTGTGTGCTGCTGTTTTGGTGACATTGGATGATTCTAGCCAGGGCCAGATGAAGATAAAGATAGCTGTGATGGCACTGGAAGTGTAGAAGGCTTTGGGAGGCAGCACCTCACATTGCATATGTTCTCATAGACCCTCAGGGTTGGAAGGTGTCTTAAAAGTTATCTAGGCAATTCTGCACCTCTCCAGGAAGTGATGGATAAAATAATACTTGGTAACATCATCTCGTGTTTCTTATTCACCTGAGAGGTTTCCTTATATAAGAGGGTACGACCAACAATTGCATTTAATGAGAAGAAACTATTTTAAGCAGCATCCCCTAATTTTTTTAAAAAGCAAGTCTATATTTTTGAATGTGGCATAGGATTTTCTTACTGCACCCTGTGGAAAACAATGGAAAGAAGACCAAACATGGCCAAGCAGTGGGTCATTCATTCATTCATTCATTCATTCCTTTCTGACACAGAGACTTGGTGGATGCCAACAAAGGATGCAACATTCTCTGAGAGAGAGAGAGCTAGGCAGACCTTAAAGCTTATTCTTCATCCCTGTTCTGGCTGATTTTATCGGCACAAAGAAGGAGACTAATCAAGGAAATCTGGGCAGAACCCACTGCTATATCTGTGATGTCCTTAATTCCAGGAAATTTGTCCAACTGCTTTCAAAACCAGCTGTACAAACTCAGAAAACAGCCTGCCTGGTACTTGTATATCGTAAGCAGGACTCTGGGATTCCAAAGGAGGGAAATGTGCCTTGCAAAAAGAAAGGCAGGAAGTCTTTTGGAAAGTAAAACTAAACTTCCTTTGCGTTTGCTCCCTCAGAGCTGAGGAATCCTGGTATTGTGCAGCTTGGGAGTGAGGCAGTGCACCTTCGATCTGAGTTGAAGATAGGTTACCCTCCTGGTGGGCTCCAGCAGGGAGGCACTCCTAGTGACTTGGAGGTGACTTGCCTAACACCTTAAACAGATCTCCTGGTGCTGTTCACCACACAGCCAGTGGCAAGGTCAGCCCCTTCCCGGAACATCTTGGTTATGTCCCCTTTGGGGCTTTCTGTTTCAAGCTAAGAGCTGGGGGTGGCGGGGGTGGGGTAGATGAGGAGGAGGATGTAGAAAAGTTGAGAGCCCTAGACTATGTTTTAATTTTGTATTTAATCATATAAAACATTTATGTAGGGTCAGAGTAAAAAGTAAAA